TACATGTGTGTGTTTGAACCTTGTGTTGTTGTTGTTGTTGTTGTTGAAATGGGCCCATTAGGTGGATGATACACTGCTCCAACAATTCAGTGATCTTGAATCATTGTACATGTGTGTTTGAACCTTGTGTTGTTGTTGTTGTTGTTGTTGTTGAAATGGGCCCATTAGGTGGATGATACACTGCTCCAACAATTCAGTGATCTTGAATCATTGTACATGTGTGTGTTTGAACCTTGTGTTGTTGTTGTTGTTGTTGTTGTTGAAATGGGCCCATTAAGTGGATGATACACTGCTCCAACAATTCAGTGATCTTGAATCATTGTACATGTGTGTGTTTGAACCTTGTGTTGTTGTTGTTGTTGTTGTTGAAATTGACCCATTAAGTGGATGATACACTGCTCCAACAATTCAGTGATCTTGAATCATTGTACATGTGTGTTTGAACCTTGTGTTGTTTGTGATGCCATAGTGATATAAAGATTTGTCCAAATTGATAAGTCTTAACAGTACATGAATTGTCAAAGCATTACATGGTCAGAACTAATGGGTTGCCAGAGTGTAATGCATTGTCTGGCTATTATGCGTTAGTTATTTCAGTTGTCAATATACCAGACATATCTATTTATTTATTATTGTATTTCTTTTTCATTTTATTACATAACAGTTTGATGAGGTAAACTATTATTCACATAAAACCAATCTCACATTTGATATTAGAGACACTTGTTGTTTGAATAAATCTGTATTACAATTAAATATGATGACAGACAACAAATGTTTTCAACTCCTTGTATGTAACCTGAGTGTGTGCACTATTGCAATATCTTATCCCATATATAATGGCAGTTCAGTGTAATTAAGCAGCATAATAATTCTCTATATCTCCTAACTACCAGTATGTAATAAACATCCCAGCAATCTGATTGGTTCATACAGATTGAACTTTTGATGTCATGACTGACTTCTGCAAAATACACCAATATCTCAAGATGTTGAAGGTTTAACACAATATATCTTGAATTATTATTAAGAATTATGTTAACTTGAATATTTCTGATAGTTTCAGATGTTGCCTAAATGCGTGTATGATTTATAGCCACATATACCTATGTGAAATCTCATTTCAAATTCTCCCATTCTCAACTTTCTGCAAACAAAAAATTTGTTTCACTCATGGTGATTTTCACTAATTGTGAAACTGTCACAGTTGAATCAACTCTAAAATTAGTAATTAAACATAGTGATGTTTCTAAAAATAGCTCTATTCCTTCATGGTAATGGTAATCAGAGTTCATGTATAATAATCAGTTATGCAAATAAGCCTGAATGTTCTCTGATGTCTTGAATCCCCACTCATGAACTATGATCACTGCATTAGTTTTTAACCCTGGAAGCTATGAAGCTAATACATGAGATAAACAAGATATCAAATTTGTGATCCTGCGATATTAGATTTACCGGTATGAAACTTGTAATGAAAATTACTGCACTTGTTTAATAAATCTGATATTGTAGGATCACTTATAAGATATCCTATGTATATCGTTTTTCCTGTTGAACAAATGGTTGCCCTGGTGTATTCCAATATCCAGTTTCATTGAACCAGATAATGGGGAAATGATTGAGAGATTGCTGCTGTTCACACTCTGACTGACTACTAACTATATACATCTGTCACCATAATGCCACAAGTTGAAGAGTGTCGTAATTTTGTGGTATTGCATTTGGTATTTACATCCTACCATATTAGGAAATGCGAATTCCAAATATGGAACGATTACACATGTAAGCATCCTCTAATAATAAAAGCAAACATGGCAGCACCCAGGGTACTTTATTTGAAATTTTACTTGACATGCATTTCATTCACTCAAAAGGCATGAAGAAGTAATAAATGATCAATTTCTTTGAACAAATACCCTTGGGAGGAAAAGATGTATAATAATTAGGTTAATACGAGGATACCGCAAAATATGCGCTCAGCCAGTACACGGCTGCATCAACCTCCGTTGCACGTTGGTCAATACTCCTGCTGTCTTCGCACGTACTTTGTGGTATCCTCGTAATAACCTCAAAGTGTTTGCTGTTCTTCTGTCTCAACATAATACTTGGTTTATGTCAGAACTAAAGTACCGGTACTAGAAGTCTTTTGCCTTGTGACTTGTGCACAACTGATAACTGGAGTTATGTGCACATGTTTTTTGCACATTCATTCCTACTGTCTGTATTCAGTGTGAAAATGAGTGATTTGATGTGTTTTCGCACTTTATCACAACATCATAGGTTTACCTTGGTATCTGCAATGATTTGTCATGTTTTTTGTCTGTAGGACAATGTGAAAGAGGCCATACATTTTTTCACAAGGGCCCAAGCATACAGCCAGGCAATACGCTTATGCAAGGTATGTCACTCATACAGCAAATCAAGTCATATACTGTGAAATACTTTATTTTAGCTGGAATTAATTTTCGGTGAAAAGACATTTTGAGTGTTTTGTTTATGGAATTTATTTTCACTGATTTTTGACAAGTTGAATGTAAAATATAGGAAAAAAGGTATATTCACTGGATTTTATTTTCACTGAATCATTCCTTCAGCGAAAATAGCGAAAATTAATTCCAAACGAAAATATAGTACTGTAAAATGACTAATTTTCACTGGGTTTAAATTTCGCTGATTTACCATTTCAGGCATATTCAGTGGGTTTTAAATTCACAGTTTTATCATTTATCATTTGTGTTCTATGCTGAATTTTACATATTCACTGGGTTTTAATTTAGCGCATTTTCCAGTCAGCAAAATTAAAACCCAGTCAATAATTACCCCCTTTACAGTATTTTACAGTAATGGGATGTATGAACACAGATGCTACTAAAATGTGTGATGTGTTGGCATTTTTACCTGTTTCGTTCATGAAAATAGAGCCACATGATGCACTACATCACTCTTAAAAATAACTTGACCACAAACATTCTGTCTTTGTACTGCATTCACTATGTGTTTAATTCATTGGTAGGAGCATGGTATGGAAGATCAGCTGATGAATCTTGCCTTGATGAGTACTCAATATGATATGATAGAAGCAGCTAGGTACTATGAAAACAACTCTAATACACAAGACAAAGCTGTTATGCTGTATCATAAGGTACACTATATGCTACTTAATTTAAATCAAGCAAGTCGTCAACAGCGCATGATGACTATAGCATGTCGCTGTTTACAAACATGCGACTACCCATGTCTTTGCATTTTTAACGTGTGTTGACATGTTTAGAACTCAATTTCCATGCATGTTCAAGTAACAATCTATCCGCTTCAAAATATTTTCATGATGAATCAGATACATGATCAACTCTGTAGTGCATTTTCAGGAATCTTGCAGTTCATGTAAGTTTTGAATATGTAATCCTAGATGTTTTTATTTCATTATTTGTCTTTTTTCACTAGGGTGGCCATTTCTCAAAAGCATTAGATTTGGCGTTCCGGACCGAACAGTTTGGTGCCTTGCAGTTAATAGCAGATGACCTAGATGACACTACAGACCCAGTGTTACTCAATAAATGTGCTGAATTTTTCATGGAGCATGGCCAGTATGACAAAGCTGTGGAATTACTTGTAGTCGCTAAGAAGGTCAGTTTTATTTTTTGTAATTGATATTAGTAAGATATTAGCAACCTATCAAACATGAACTGAGTCTGCCCAGCAGTGAAAATTTGATAAAGTGGAGATAAATTATGATTTATGGATTTCCAACCATTATATTAAAAATAAAAGTTAATTGCTGCATTGCAATCAAAACCTCATTAAAATAAAACCATGATGTGGTTCACAAGATTATACAAATAAATATTTATTTAATACTAATGTGATTGAGAAATTGTTTGGTTCTACTATGATCTTTTCAGCCAATAGAAATGTTACACACAAACCAAACCTCACTGTAGATCTCTTTTTTTTCAAATCTTCATGTATTGATTTGCATGGAAGGGAAGGCATGTGACAATATTTTGAATTCTGATTTTTTTACTACTTGTTTTCTTATAGTACTTTGATGCCTTAGAACTGTGTGTACAACAGAGTGTGACAATTACAGAGAAATTAGCAGAGAAAATGACTATACCAAAAGACACTCCTCAAGTCAATAATGATACTAGAATTAAACTATTAGAAAAGATAGCTGACTGCTGCTTTACACAGGGTGCTTATCACCTAGCAACCAAGAAATATACACAAGCTGGTAATAAAGTCAAGGTAAGTGGAGATCCTGGTGTGGGCTTGATTTAGGTTTAGTTTGATGTCATTACTGAAGTTAATCATAATTGGTCTTTTATTTAAATTTAAGAAATCACATGGAAATATCAAAACTATCAGATTATCAGATGCTTAGCTGTCAAAAGTTAAAAACATCAAACTTTGGGGAGTTGTTTCAATATTTCATCTCTTATTCTTGAGCTGTAATCATAAAACACAGTCCAGGGACCGTCTAATACGAATACTGATCATAATTGTGTTTGGTTAATTACAATCTTGATTGTAGAAAACAATGGTTGATAAATTTAAATAGCTTCCTCTATAGTTGAAGATGTGAGTTTATTTTGTTTTTTTACTTCATAAATTGCAACATCACTTAAACATAGTTTGATTAAATTTACTCACAATGTGTAAATTTCGAATACAACACTCGATAATTTAGCATGTGATTTGAATTTCCTATTTGAATTGACTTTCAATGTGTATTACAGGCGATGAGAGCTTTGTTGAAATCAGGAGACACTGAGAAAATCGTTTTCTTTGCTGGTGTGTCAAGACAGAAGGAGATATATGTTATGGCTGCCAATTATTTACAATCATTAGACTGGAGGAAAGACCCAGAAATTATGAAAAATATTATTGGGTTTTATACAAAAGGTAGAGCATTGGATTCACTGGCTGGCTTCTATGATGCATGTGCACAGGTAAGTTTAACCAAACTTTATTATTTCAAAATAAGAAAAATGATAAACAAAAACTTTCAAATGCATCTAAACACCGAGAAAATAATTTGTTTGTGTAGAGTAAAAAAAATCTGTTGACAGTTACAAACACAGCACTTTTGTCAACAGTCTATAAAACGTATTTACATTACTTCTATGTGTAAATATGTTGGGAATGTAGACAAAATCTGTAGATACTCAACAATATTTTGAAACAAAGTAGGTAATCAGTTGTTGTAATCTTACAACGTCTAGAGCAATCTCAATGGCAAAACCTCGGTTTTCATTGTAAAACACAACGGTTTAATTTTGTCAGTCAGCAATAAATTGTGTCCACCTGAATGCAGTCTAGCGATGCCAATTTAACAGTGTACTGTGCTTATCTAATGTAATGATATATTTTCATTTATGATCAGGTTGAAATTGATGAGTATCAGAACTATGACAAGGCCCTAGGTGCAATGAGTGAAGCTTATAAATGTTTAACCAAAGCCAAGATGAAGAATATCTCACAGCAAGAAGAACGAATTGCAAATCTTAAACATAGAATAGGATTAGTAAAGAAATTTGTACAGGCAAGAAGGTAATGTGACATATTCATGCTGTTTAACTATAATCTCTTGTGTATCACCTGGATGGTTTTGGAATGCTATTGCAATTACATTCCTCAAACACATACTCTGTTTGCTGTACTAGAAGCACATCTCCAAAAGATGCATATATTTCCCCTAAAAATAGTGTCATTGTGTGTTCACTACTAATCTCGCAAGGCTTGTAACTGTAATGTTCTGAGAGAACCCGATGTCATGGCAAACTGTTTTAAACATGATTTAGACTCACTTTATAAATTGTTGAGAAAATATCTGAAGAATTGCGTGGCATTCTATATTATGGACATTTTAGTTGCCATTTGCCATTTAGTTGCACAATTACTAAAATAATAAGATAGTGTATGATCACTTTTGAGATACCTCTGTATAAACAGTTGCATAACATTATGTTTATTTTACAAATGAAACCTGACATTTTAGGAAGATTTTGCTCGAATGTTTAAATGATTCAGAGCATTTAGCTCTTCACCCTAATGTAAACTTCCCAGACTGGTATCCAGGCAATGATGAAGAAAACATTCATTAACTGTTAACATACATCAAACCTTTGCTTCAAAGCTACAGCCAGTTCTATTTTTCAGTTTAGTCCATTCTATTTATTACCTATATATTAGGACTAAAATATATACTGGTATTTTTGCTAAAATGCATTAATAATGCCCAAACAGATAATACAGATTGCAGCACTGTCTTGTGTCTAATGCCAACCATCTGGAGAACAAAGTTATTGAATGATCTCCATTTTCAGGTTATATGACGATGATGCAGAAGAAGCTATGAAGCAATGTCAGATACTTTTAGAAGAACCAGATTTAGACAGTGCTGTTAGAATTGGTGATGTCTATGGCTTAATGATTGAACACTATGCTAGACAAGAGAACTACAAGAGGGTAAGTTGAGGGCGCTCTTCACTCTAGTAAACATGACTGAAAGTTGTAATGCTGTATTGCAGCACTTTTAAGTTGAGCTGCACAGATTTAATAATACATCTGAAATGTATTACAAAACAACAATGCCAGAGTTGCAAAATGGTATCTGTAATTTAGTGCGTATTATGTCAATGTCATTTTCTAATCCTTTTAACATCTAGTGATAAAATGGTAATTTTTGTGATTGACAGGCATATTCAGCAATGGAGGAGATGCGTAATCGGATCCCGACTGTAAACATGGCATATTATGTGAACATGGCAACCATTGAGGCTGTACATCGAGCATTAGAGATACCGCTGGGGAGGGGCATTGGTGCAGATATAAAGGGAGGAGGGGGTAGAATCAGTGATGATGAAGATGGAGAAGTAGTCGAAGAAGAAATTTACAATGGAGAAGAGTATTGTTGAGGAATTTCAAGAACTATATTGTGAAAAAATGACTGAATCTGGATACCGTGTAGCTTTGTGTGCTGTACGGATATTTTGTTCGTACTGTGGTGATGACATGTAGAAATACTGTAGGTAGGATATCATATAGCGTGGGGATGACAATGTGTACGCTGACAGATCTGAAAGTCTTTTGTAATCCTTCCACATAGATGTAAGAGTCAAACACTGACATGCACATAGTTTTCACCACAATTATTATCCGTTATCCATTTTGTTTACTGTGCCTTTACCTGCCTTTCAAATGATATATAGAGCATCTTGTAGTCATTCCGTCCTGTCAAGCAGCTACACGGTACTCAGCTTGTTTTTTAAAATAAATATAATTTTGAATGCTTAAATTTGGTGATTCCTTGTTCAAGGGTCAGCAATAAGTTTACCCGTTCAGTGCACACAGATATTGCAGAGAACTTTTTATTCAAGGCTAGTGATGGTATCCAGATTGCAAGTTGAACTTTCCATTCTCACTTTGATTGCTGTCTCATATTTTTTACATAATTTATTTTATCAGAAATAGATTTGAAAGAGGAGGGGTTATATGTACAATATTACCAGCAATAGGAGTGCCAGCATTTTAATATCACACTATTGAGTGAAATTATCATACAAATATAACCTCATCAGCTGCACATTTACTATACTGCAAACCGTTTTTATTTTAAAACAAATTGAAAAATATTGTGAAATTTTGTATCTACACATATCACTGGAGTAACATTGACTTTTGTGGAAGGTATGAAAACTCACAAATTTAGTGGTTTACAGTATTCTCCTAAATTGGTAATATTGATGTAAATTTCCAATTAAATCTGTAAATTAAGTACTTAAAAAATGTTCAAAAATATGACCCCATGCTGCAGTTGCTGTTTTTATGTCCATTTAATATACATATAAAAGTACAAATGTTATGTATATTTTTCTCTATTCTCTGTGCTCTTCCACTGTGGCCATGTTATTATTAAATTCCTATTATGTATAGTAAAATGAAATTTGTATGTATATAACTTTTGACACAAGATTACTTGGCCAGAAGTGTTTCTGCAACATGGCACGGTTTGTAGTCATCTCAAAGATGGTTGCAGATCTTGTGATATTTTGCATCCTGTAATTTGCTGTGTCATATTCAAAAACTTTGAATAAAAAATAATCATAATTAAGAAATGAAGTGGTTTTCTATTCTTTTTACCTCGCTCGTAATGATAATGAAGTGGTGATATATAGAGGTTACACTGTCTGAAGTTGTCGTCAGCATCATTGTTCTTGTCCTAAACACTTTGTAGTTAAGATAACTAATTCATAATTTTTGTTCAGTCGTCCTCATATTATCAAATATCAACCAATGTATAATCTTGGTGTAGTTCAAGATTGGTAAAGCTGGCTCATGTATTTTTTGGAAATATTGGTGAAAATGTGCTTCATTAGCTTAAATTAGAGGAGTTTGTAATTGAATGCCTTACTCTGAGTGGAAACATAAAACTTGGATACTGATAAGATTAGCTTAGCTTGAAAGTTAAATCCAAGTAATAAAAACGTGTACAAAAAAAGTTAATGAAAAGCACTTTTATCTTATTTCTGTTTTAAATCCTTGTTCTTGTGATTGCAATAATGAGGTTCAAATGTCAGTACTATATTCTGCAAGATCTATTAAGATAGCCTCATAACCAATCATTTTATATTTTTTATTATAATGGCTTGCATAACTTTCCTGCCTAAATTTTGCTTAAATATATTGCTAAACTATTTGGAAACTTTTATTGAACTCAAGTTGTGTTCTATAAGGGACCATTAAGATTAATGCTATTCTAAAAGGGACATTTGGATTAATACTTGCGCCAGCATTTATTCAATTTATGTTGTCTGAATTAGATATGATAAACACATAACAATTAGGGTAGTACCAGTATTATGTAGTATAAATACATTTTTGCCATTTGTCACTGTATTTTTCCATTGAAATTGGCCAAAATGTAAATGTTACACTATTTTAAAACTTTCATGCAGTTCATATCGTACTAGTATTCTATAAGGGGCAATGAGATTAATACATTACATTTAATATTAACCTATTCATTCAATAATTTCATAAATAATTACTTATAACTTCATTGTTCTTGTGAAATGCCATTCAGAATGGAATCCAAAAGCAGGAACAGATTAACCTTTGTTCATCTGCACATGTCTTGCTTGATCATTGTGTCACATGTATGTACATTCGTTTGTTCATCAAAATTCAAGATAGTCAATTGCTGGCTATTTTATTTTCAAAATTTATAGCCTCCATCCTGTGTCTTATTATTTTGAGTATCATTTCTCACTAAGCCCCACAACGCAAGGTTTCTTGGAGAACATACAGTTATTTAGTTTATAAGGGAGATGTACTAAATCATGACTTGCTATATATCACACATCTCTACCAAACTGAATGTCCAGTGAATTCTCTACAAACACCACTGCTCCCATCCCACTCCCAAAATTATACCCAATGTTTTTGATAAATTAACCATATTATTCCATTGTAACTACTATTATGGCATAAATTTCATCATAAATCACAAATAATGGGCAAAGTAATCAATAGCTTCATAGCTACATTAATTTATTGACCCCTGGCAGTAAAATGTCACTGTCATCGTTGTATATAAATTGTGTCTATGTTTTCAGATTCACAGTATGTGATGCATATTAGACTATTCTGTACAACAACTACTGCTTTTAGCAATTCTGGGAAGTGGTTTGAGAGATGATCTTCCTTTTCAATTCTTGAATTATATATAAATGGCTTTGTCAACCCTATTGCATGGCCAGTGAGAAAAGATAAAAATAATTACACAAAAGTAGAAGGACATGTATGTATATTCTCAGTGTGCTCAAGACCAGATCGTAGAACAAATTGGCTGCTGTATAAACTGCAATATTTGATTGCCAAGTTTCATTGCGATGACGGATGGTACACCAAATCAGCATTATTGTCATCTAGTTTGCTAATGATACAGATGAGCAATGGATAGCCCGATTTAATTTTGGGTCACAATACTGGTATTATCAAGAAGAAATATTTAAACTTACTTTGAGGAGTCACTTTTAATTTACTTTTTCCTTTTACAAAGAATTTTATGAAATAAACCACAAACACACCAGGAGTTGCTAACTGGAAAACTGGTAGACTTCGAAGCTGTCACCATTCTTGCATCCAAAGTGTGTTAGCACGTTGTGAGTTATTGAGTAGACTTTTTTTATTGACATAAAATCAAATCATACGTTCATATATGCAGTTGTACTACTGATTTGATGTCTCAATTGTGAGCAGAGTAATTCTAGTGGTGCATATGCCAACAAAGACACGAAGCAAAAAATAGGAACTGAAGTGAAAATACTACATTGGATTTTAGAGGTAACCTCGTGGGAGAAGTGCAGGTAATTGATAACAGATGTGAATGGTTGGTATTTTGAAACAGGTAAAGGAGGAAGAGTTGAAGTGATGTGATTAAGACTAGGGCATTGTGTAATAGTACTATACTTTTATAAAATCCGAGCAATGTGACTGACGCATGGCCGAAAGACTAAATGACAACCACATATTTCTCGTCTTCCAAAAGTAGAGAAACTTTGATGACTCAACAGATATTTGTTTTTCATTAGTTATAAAAAACCTTCATATATGTGTATATTTTCCAGTATCCACTCTTTCTGACCAATTTTTTGTGTGCTGCAGTGCATTTGAAATTTGTATTTGAAATTTCTTCAGTATAGGCAACTGAAACATCAGATAATATTCACCTTTTAGTGTTAGCGCCCTCAACATAAAAACGTACAGTATTGTAATGATTGACGTTGTGGGCGTAATTCAGGGTGAAAGTTCATTGCGTTGTGTTATCGTTTTTCAAGATGGCAGCCTCCGTGTGAAAGAAGTGCTTTTGTTTTTGTTGTGACTCTGGCAAATTGAGGCTTTGGTTGAGTGGTTGGAAGCTGAATTGCATACAGTCTTTGAAACGAAATCTCCTCACAATCATAGGTTAGTTTTATGTCGAAAAGTGCAGGGTATTATTAATTTAAACAGATACTAGGTCCAAGTCCCAAATCATTGTTCACGTAAGACATTGCACTTGAGGGAGGACTGTGCATTGTTGTATGCCGGGACGAGGGCACTACTACTGCATTTAGCTGTGTACCGTTGGTACAGCTTGTTATTCCAATAACTAATGAAATAACCATCACAGTGATACTAAAAAAAACATTACTACCTACATAGATGAAAAATAGAGGTCTATGGTTTCTGTGAGCAGTGGCAAGCGAAAATCATTATTATTGCCAAGTTGGTTCACTACTGATTTAGACTTGAACAACTTGTAATGAAACTACTTAAAGGCACATTTATTACTATCACATGCAATCATTACCACAAATGCAAAATGATTCTTCAGATGCAAGAATTTCCGCTCAGATTGCAGATTGCCAATTCTGCATCAGAGACTTCAGCAACAATGTGTATTGTGCGTGTGCTGTATTGTTGTTGTTAATAACTTGTGACAATATAGCAAGCCCATCACCTGTCTGTATCCTGCATGTAAACAGAGATTATGTAAAATAATGAATCAGACACTTCCCAGTATTCGTTTTGACTTCACAGAGGAACATGTGATTTTCAAAACAATTTGAAACACTTTGGAGCTGAGTTTTTGTCCCATAAATATGAGTATTAATTTTTCACATCACTGCTTATATGTATCTGGTTGTAGTTTGTTTCAGGAACGGAAAGCAGTGTATTGTGTTATTAAGGCAGGATATTATAGAATTGAATCTTGATTAGCAATGTCTTTGGCGGATGAATTATTAGCTGACTTGGAGGAGATCGCGGAGGAAGGAGAAGAACCTGAGATAAGTAATGAGCAGGATGATGGGATTGATGACATACAGGATGTTCCCATGGAGATGGACACCAACAGTGCAGAGTCCATAAAGAATATTGCAAAACTACGTGATGGTCAGCAAGTATGTAAACAATCTCAATAAAATAACTTTTCTTATAGTGGACTCCATATCCATGATATCATCATTGTTAATTAATTTTTGTCAAATCTTGTGCAGTGATTATTTCCAATCTACTGGGTATGCTCAGATGTGTGTAGTTGGAGGATGTCATATTAATCGTTAATATAAATATTATTATAATAACTGATGTATACATTATCTTTCAGATCTTGTTTTATAAAATTCTAATTAACTCCGCTCTGTACGTTGTTAATTGATCTACAAATTGTGATTAATTCTGATGGGTGTCTCAGTTGTATCCTAATTTATTCAATCACATTGTAGTTTATCACTAATCTTTTTTAACTTTTTTAAGTATTCTAATTTATGACTCAAACATAAGTGCAATTCCATCATTTGGTTCTGAAATAGACATCACAGACTGTAGAAATTTTACTGTCCACAAACAAATAATAACTGGTGCAAAATGATTTTAATATAAATACTCTAGTTTCAATTTTTTTTAATGTAAAGTATAAAATCTGAAATTAAGGATGCTGTATAGGTTTTTGGTATTGATTTTCTAAACTGATGTTTCCATATAAAATATTTACTGAACCATACAAAGCTATACATTAATGGAAAGCTTATTTCACACTGAATGTGAAATTGACAAACGATGTATTGCTAAAGGAACAGGAAAGATTGAAAAATACTAGAAAATACACCTAAATAGGATATTTATGGTTTTTGAAATTGCATTGGTTCATATGATGACAGTAACTCAAATTTATCAATCTTGTTGTCTAGTTAAAAAAGATTATGGCCCAAATTGAATATTATGAAAAGAAAAAGACCAAATCAGGTAAGAACACTCAAGAGATATCTCTCGAGACATGTCATTTTCTATCATACAACTTTCATATATGTTCATGATCCATGCTGTTTGACTTGGAGACTTCATCAGCCTCCATTGTTTACAAATAGTTAACATTGATTACCTGCCAATACAATGAAAACTAGCATTTTTCAAATGTTTTCTGTTGGTAATGTAGTGAAACAATAGTTTGCATATGTATATGTCAATTTAGTTATAGTTTCTCAATTTTTTGTTCCTAAATGTCATTCCAGTCGAATACAGATAGGGACTATTTCATTGACAGTGACTTCTTTATCACATAAATATGAAACCTTTGTTCATTGTAGGTGCAGCTGGACCTGTTGAGGCTGACCCTGAATATCAGTTGATTGTAGAAGCCAATAACCTCACTGTAGAAATTGACCATGAAATTGGTAAGTTGAAATTTACTGTTGAACTTGAGTAGAAGCTCTTTCCTGAAACCTCTTTTTTGATTGAACCATTAAAATAGATGATATAGTTGGCAAGAAAACTAATTGAAACTGTAAAAGAACCAGAAGTTCTTTGCTTGTGTTCATTAGCATTCAACAGTATTCACACACATTTTGAGCTATTACATGAACTCACTCAGTGTATGGTCTCATTGATGTATACTTACTGTACTGTCATTGTAATATCCTTATAACAACCTTATTATGTCAGATTAGAGTCCTCACATGTCATATATTATACCAATAATATTTGTTTTATCAGGTGCTGATTTTATTGTCCATTGAACTTGACAATAAAATGTGCTGGAAAATATCTGGCATTTGACCAGATTTGTCAGTAATATGAGGTTATTACGAGGACACCTCAAAGTATGCGCAAAGACAGTACAGTGGGAGTATCGTCCGACACGCAGCAAACTGTCTGTGTGCATACTTAAAGGTATCCTCGTAATAACCTTATTATGCCGAAATCCAAAAAGTTTAGATTAGAATCAGCGAACTTCTTTGTGGGGAGTCCGGTCAAATCCTGGTGGCAGTCATGTTTGTTTTTCCATATTTGGAATTTGCATTTTCTAATATGGTAGGATGAAAATACTCCATAAAATACAATTAAAAATTACGACACACTGTAATTACGGTGACAGATGTATAATAATTATATATAATTCCATATTATTTTCTGTTAGTTTGATGTCAACAGACATGAGGCATATCGTAGGATTATGTATTTATCACATTCATATTTCCACAATACGATAGTGAAACGATGGAGTATTGAAAGTGGAACTTTTGCTAAAATAACACTGAATACAAATATATTATTGTGCCCGCCTTGTATGCTAATTTTGTTGAAGCCACAGTGTTCTAATTCACACAAACGTCTTGTTTACGCTGTATGGTGATTCTGCTTGTTTGTTATGCATGTGATAATCTTTAAGATCTTCATGACTTTTCATGTGCTTACTTCCAGATGTTATCCACAAATTCTGTCGTGATCATTATATGAAGAGATTTCCAGAGTTAGAATCATTGGTACCCGGAGCTTCCGATTATATGAATACAGTTAAGGTTGGTATGGCTATGTCACTGTTAAGGTGGGTCGCAAGCTTTGCTGGGCTACCTATTTGAACAGATGGTAGCATTGTGTCCTTTCCAGGACTTTTTTGCAATTCAGTTTTGCCATGCCTTGCCTTACCTTAGAATTGTTATTATTATTTACGCTGTTGATTAATTTTTTTTATGCAAATTACCCTTCATGCTTGGATATTTATCTGGTAGTACATGAATTGTTTGATACTTGAAATCAGGAATATAAGTAAGTAGCCTACCGAGTACTTACTTTGTGTAGGATGCCCATAAATTGAATTGTTAGGATACCTTACATTTAGGCTGCTGAGAATAATCTGAATTCATTTTATGCTTGCGTCATGACTGTTTTGTACTCTACCTTTATGTAGGAACTTGGTAACAAATTAGAGAAAGCAAAGACAAATGAGAAACTACAGGAAATTTTGACACCAGCCGTTATCATGATAGTAAGTGTATCTGCATCAACGACACAAGGACAGTTAATGGAGGAAGACGAATTGAATCGTGTCTACGAAGCATGTGATATGGTAAGTATGCTGACAAGCTTTGATGCAATCAAATGGATTTTATTTTCAGTTTAATACAAATACTATTGCATGCATCTTGTGTGCATTTGTTGTGAACATTTTGTCGTATGCTTGCTTCTGAAAGTGACTATCCATTGACTTTGGCTTGTAAATTTGTTTCAGTCATTTTATGTCTGAACAATCAAACAAAATTAGGTGATCATTTTAGTTTATAAAATCTGACCTAGTTGCTTGCTGAACTAATAACTATGTATTATTCATGTGTTCTCATGAATGAGTGTGCATCACAGGCCAATTTATTACTTTATTTTGATTTAGATTTTGTAAGTAATAATCATTGATAAGGAAATTTCTCCTGAAACCTGATACGTCATATTTATTTACCAAAATACGAGTGTGTGACTGGTGTGATATGCGATGACTACTCTATTCAAATCAAATTGTGACATCACAGTCTCAATTTCCAAGATATTTGTTCACATAATTTTTAAAAAATACTCCCGGTAATTCACTTATTCACCTTTTTAAATGTATGTTTCCCAAAACGAAACCAGTGTCCATTGCTTTCTATGATGTCATTGTCATAACTCGCATGGATTGGGATCTTTATCGCAAATGGCAAAACTGACCAGCACTTCTAATGTTAGTTTGTTTGTGTTTCTTTACTAGGCTATGGATCTAAATGAAGCTAAACTAAAGGTATTAGCATATGTAGAATCCAGAATGTCGTTTATTGCTCCTAATTTATCGATCATAGTAGGTGCTTCCACGGCAGCCAAATTAATGGGTATGTGCAATTAGTTGTTTTTTTGTTTCCCAGAAAACTAACGACATTTACAGAGAAAATTAAATGAGTATTGCTTAAATTAAGTGGCACAATGTTTAATTCAATGTTGTGCCAGTGCTTGTTTCTATGAAAACAATAAATGTAACTCTACAATTCATTCTTCTTCAGGCATATTGGAATGAAATGGTCACAAAGCATATCCTTTTAATGACGACATGATTTATTTATTATTTACATTTGTAGGTGCTGCTGGTGGTCTTAGTCATTTATCACGAATGCCGTCATGTAATATATTAGTATTAGGAACACAGAAGAAAACTATGATGGGTTTTTCCAGTACTGTCACCAACCCACACACTGGGTATATTTATTATTGTGATCTAGTACAGGCCACTCCATCGGTAAGTTTATTTAACATTTTATTCGCCAAGACTCAGCTGTCTCTCTGATCATTTGTCGTCTATGTTAACGATCCACTCCACTAGGATTGCCCTCATAATCACTTTTGTGTGTGTGTCGTCTTCACGCATTAAAGTGCCTGTGAAATGGCTGCTATTTTCACGCCTAAAATTATCAATTGATACATAAATATTATTAATTTTTATGTTTCTAAGCATGAATTATTTTTTTTAAGTGAAAAAATGTGTTTTAAACTCAGTCTACGGCAACTTTATTTTTGTGTATTTTAAAACGAGGCTCCTCATTAGCTTCTCATTTGCATACAGAAATTCCCCTTGTGATGTCAGAAGGGGAAGTCGCATGGCAGCTTGCATTGCCGATACGTGTAAATAAGGCAAATTTCTTGTGCAGTTTTCTCGTTTTTGACTATATTGTCACTTACGTACTTGTTCGTCGAGGAAGAATGGACCATAATGAACACATAGTATCAATTTTTGTAGCATTGGGTTGAGTTAGATGCGAAATATGTTCGTTCTAGTGTAGCTGGTCACCGTGATTGTCACCGACACTGGCGCACGTTTGTACACTGTTGCTGGACAAAATATAATTTGACGTCGGAATTATCTCATTATTTAGCAGGTTACTAGGCACGTCACTACACTGTTTTATTTCATCGATCGTCTGGGTAAAACTTTCAAAATTAAAATAAAAGAGAACATATTTTAACATTCTAAACATTAGACTATAGTGATCACTATAAAATAATTAAAAAATCACAGTTACTAAATAACTGACAGCCGCGTGGAAATAAATTGACATTTTGTTGAAATAGGTTGGCTCACGGCGAGGGCAAGTGCGTGCATTAAAAGCGGCGTTTAATTGGATAACAAAAATAATCAAGATCGACACACATACAGATAAATTCAGAGTGGATTCGAGTTAGCTTGATCCATGGCGTGATTGTCATAATTATAACATCGTATTAAAACTTTATTTGGTGGAAACACATTGACCAAGCCCGGATTCTTATTTCATAAATTATTACGCAGATCAAGCTGCAAGCATGGAGGTAAAAAAGAACAGAGGTGTGAATTCGACATTCAACACCAATCACCAAACAATTCAGAAACTTTTAGCCTTCGAAAATGAAAACAATTAGCAGCGTGTAAAGGCTGTGTAATTTCCTGTCTGTCCAAAGCTTCGTTTTCGTGTCACTGTCAAAATTATTGCTACTCTTTACTTGACTAAATGGTCTCTATAAAACGATAATTAGGATCGCAAAAAAGTCAACTCATTTGAAACACTTGCCGTCTCTCTCTCTCTCTTCTGAAATCTGCCTCGGTGATCATGGGCTGGTGCGTAATCTATTTCTTTCAAAAGTGTTGCGCCAGGTTTATGTCGTCGGCGTTTCTCTTTAAACCTAGTTGTTTTTTTCATGGACGAGGACAGTTTTTCCAAAAAAAAAGAAGCTGAGGTTAAGTGGCTTTCGTCCACTGATGTCGCACTTTCGGATCGATTAGAAGCGTGTGAATACTTACATTATGACTATACGTTTCACTGCAACTGCCCATAACACAACATCTAAAAACTGTCTCTCAAAAAAAAAAAAAATAGACAAAAAAAAGAAAAAAAACGCCGACCGAAAAATGTATATCGTTTAAAAGTATACTAAATGACCAGTGTTATTACGGCTCAGGGGTATAA